GCCATAGCCAAACACTAAATTCCCCTTTCATGTTTCTGAATTGCTAGTAGGTCCTGACAAATTGGTATTAGATGCCAGCGATTCTCGGCGGAGGCGTATGAGGGTGACAGAAATTTCCCCATAGATTGGTGATGCCCACCCTTTTCCCACCCTTCTTCGTTTTCGGCGGTGCTGTTATACGGCAGCGGGGTTGAGGCGGTGTGGAGGCGCATGTGGCAGTGAGAATTAGGGCACAAATCGGTAGAGCAGGGGCGGTTGATCGATACTCTGTTCGATCGGTAAAATTCCGCGTCCGAGCGCTGATCCGTGTGCTTTTGGAGGCGTGGATCGTGGCAGCGGCTGGATCTGAGGTGAGGGAAAGGTTGCTGGTGTTCCGGGGTAAAATTCCTCGCCCTTACCTGAGATCAAGGAGATGGGTCGCGCGAAGACGATCGATGAGGCGGATCTTCAAGAAGTTCTCTCTCTGCGAGATGACTTTGGTGTTCTTTAGAAGGACAGTTCTATGATGCGATTGGAAGTATCCAAGTTGCAAGAAGACGTTTGGCCCATCAGTTCCAAACAAGGTGAGATCTCTCTCCAAGTTGTGGGAATTGAGAAGGCAGTACTGGATTTGGGCAAACAACTCTCTACTATAAGTGCAGTTTTGAAATCAATTGCTTAGCCAAATGCCCAGGCACCATCGGGCCCAGATCAGCCTAGTACTAGTCATGTGGTACATTCTCCCACTCTGCAACAGGAACAAATCCCAGATCAGCAGGCCAGAAACGATGCTCTCACGAAACAGTTGGAACTAGAAAGGGAGAAAACTCGACAAGCAGAAGAATTACATCTGCAAAATTTACCCCCCATCAGAGTTCAACGACCTCCATTCCTCCTGGGTATGATAATCAGCAAAGAGCTGATAATCTTAGTGTTGTGGGTACTCCTGTAACTGCAAGGGAGGCAGGTCACGCCCCTGTTTTCAACAAGTTTTACCAGCCAAACAAGGACAGGCAACTATGGCAAGGATATTTCAAGACTTATGAACAAAACATGCAGGCCCAGTTCATGAAATCACTGACTAAAGGACCAAAGATGGACTTCCCTAGGTTTCTAGGAGGGGAGCTCCTACTCCGCGCCTTCAGCGCCAACTAACCAACTGGTGCTCGCAGCAGCGCCTTGCTAGGCCGGCCCACGAATGTGTAACGCCAGTGGACAAAAAATCC